ACGTAATATACGACATTTAATGAGACTCGGTGAGTATTGTTTTAAATTTTTATATTATCATTTCTAATATGGGATCACTTGTGCAAGTCGTCGCTACCACATCTCACATTTATGTTTATTTATTCTACTGTGGGGTGGTATTTATCTTATTTATATGTTATGCATCGTGTTTATTATATAATTTTGAAAAAAATATCATGGATGGATTAATGAAAATGTGTATATTAACGTAATAACGACATTTAACCCTTTGAGGGTCGACAGGCCCTCTCCGAAACTCGTTTCCTCAGGTCGGCCAAATTTAAAAAAAAAAAAAATTATTTTCTCTTATGAAAAGATAGAGAATCTTTTCCCGATCATAAAGACACCAAAAGTTTGAAATTTGATAGAAAACTTACGGAATTATCTCTCACAAAGTTAGCGGTCTCGGCGATGTTTACGGATCGGCGATTTTGCCCACCTTTTTAGCCCCATTTTCGGCCAATTTCACTGTACTAGTCACAAAAAAAAATGAATATTTTGCTAGAAACTCCCTTTTTCTATCGAATGGGTGCAAAAAAACCACCCCTTTATAAATTCAACTATCCAGTACAGTGGTCAGAATTTAGCAATTTTGCCCTTTCACACAAATTTCAAAAGATGCCAATTTCGGAATAGGGCCAGAATAAACAAGAAAGACATTCCTGGCACTAAAAAAGACATTTCCCCTAGTCATTAGTCACGTCTCAAGGCCCCTCTTATATTTTTTTGCTTTTCCACTTTGAATTTTTTATTCTCACAAAAATATAAGATTTACTGTTATGCAGACTACTGCATTAGTGTAAAAAATGGTATAAATATTATTGGTGCACTTGTGAAAGAATATAGACTCACCAGTTGACGTGTTTGCACGCTTGTCACGATTTGTTTACTTTTGAAGTTTGGTAAAAATCGAACATTTCTGCTACTTTGAGCTCAAATTTTAAGGCACCTTTTATTGTAAAACCAGTCAAAATCATCTCAATTTCAGTAATATGTCTTCCATTTTTAAAATGAGACCATGAAAACTAGAATACAACAATAAATACTATACGAAAATACACTGCAAAGTCGCTGATTTATTAAAAAAAAATGGAAAAAGTTTTTTTTTTCTCATTATGCACCGTGTGCTGCAGGATTTTTTTTAGATGTGCACACTGACCAATAGACCCATTCTTTCATATGAAGGCCTACCAGCTTTCTCCCACTAGATTTGAGGTCGCTAGAATTTATGATACTAGTACGTCAAAAACCCCTACGCGTAAGACGTACTAGTACGACGAAAACCCTCAAAGGTTAAATGACTCGATGATTATTATCATTTCTAATATGACGTCTGGAGACATAAGACACTTACCAATTTTAATGTGTACCTGCATGCCAGCACAGTATGTAAGTTTATTTAGGTACAGGTATACATAAGTATAAATTATCAGAGTATATATAAAAAAATGAAATAACTTTAAAAACATTTGAAATTTTGGATTTTCCAGACAAAAGGGAGAGTTTTAGTGTTTACTGAGCTCATGGAAATGTAAACAAACAGGGTGGGGCACGGTGACCGATTAAAAAGTCGGGTGGGGGAGCCGTATAGCGATTTTGGCATAATTTGAAATGTCCTATTAGCGGAATGCCGAAAAAGTGAAAGCCGAAAGGGGGCCCCTGATATTTTTTTAGAGACGCATTTTTTATTTTTATTAAATCAAGGGGGAAGCGCTAAAACCCGTAGGTTTTTATACAGACCCATGGGGGGAGGAAGGGTTATTCAACTTAAATTCAGGGAATGGGTACAGATCCATTTACCAGATCAAGAGCCCTCACCAGCATAAAGGAAACCTTCTTTGGGAGGGCTGCCCCTTAAAAAAAAAAATGCTTTACATGTCTAAGTCTTTTCAGGAACATTTATTTTAACCCACCACTGTCAAAATTCTTAAATGGCTGAAGATGTTTCTCCAAGTATCAGGATTTTTAAAAAAAATAAAAATTTTTTATTCTACATCTAAGTTTTCATATCAAATTTCACTTACATTTTTTCTTCACACAAAACAAGTAAATGGTACATTTTGGGCTCCCATAATGCCCTAAAAAAACACTTTTTTTTTATACTGTACCTCTACAGCAAAAATTTTTCTCTGTTAGTCCTAAACCAAGCCAATTTTGGACTTTTTTGGGGTTTATTTATGGGGGGCAGTTTTGCAGCGGGCATAAATTTGTCATTAGCAGTTTAAGGGTTGAAAGTCCTGTCTGTGAAAAATTTTTAAAAAAATTAAAATTAAAAAACTTTTTTCCCCTTTAAACCCCTTTCAGGGTCCAAGGGCCAAAATTGAAGTCACGCACCATGTCCAAAAAATTTTTAAAAAAAAAAAAATTTTTTTTCTTACAAAATTTTAAAGACATTTTTTGGGAAAGGTAAAAAAAAAAAAAAATTAGAATTGACAGTACTTCCCAGATCGTGCCAAGAAATTTGTAAAAAAGAGTGGTGGCGGCAACATCGACGAATTCCAATACGCGTATTATATTATTTTGTTTTTTTTTAGTTGTTTTTTTTTTTTTTTCCCCAATTTTTTTCTTTCCTACTAACATTTGGGGCCCTGAGAGCCCAATACTGTATAAATTTTATAATATAAACTCATGTATTGCCCAAAATAACCGCCCTAAAGTTATTATATATTTTTGTTTACCACTGTTGTTTTTTACAAAAAACAGCACAAATTTTGTATAAACTAAGTTCTATCATATTTTTTCATATTTACAATCCTGGACAGTTTTTAGAACTGCTGGACTTGGGGAACCCCTTGAAAAAAGCACCATGCACAGAGGCACCTTTACTTTCCTCACACATAAAGGGTGCTTTGGTTTTTGTTCCCGTCTTTTTTTTTGTGCAAGACAATGATTCTTCTGAGCAAATTTTTTTGAGTTGAAGGAAGCTGTATTATGAAATATCACCTTCTTTTCTAAAACGCTTGGTATATTGTGATGAATTCGAACCATTTTTGTTTGCAGGTTGTTACCTGGTACTTCATATATTGTCTGACAACAGACAAAAAAAATTCACCATCGGTGGCTGTTACCATCTTTTTTTGGGGTCTATTATTGCATTCAGCATTGAAATTCCAAGAGGGAAAAGAAAATTTTCATGTACCACTTGAAAACTTTACGAACACATCAAAAAAACCCAATCTGATGTCACACTTGAACCCAAGCCATGTTTTGTGTATAATAAATACTGTCACGGGTTTTCAAATACGTCATTAGTCACTCGATCAATTTTGCCCTGTTTTGGGCATTTCATTAGGGTGTGGTTGTAAACAATGTGACATCTCGTTTGTCATCCCCGTAATGCTGATTTTGGGAAAACCCTGCAAACCCCCCAACACCTGCGTTTGGCCTGGGCATATGTTTTCGATTAAACGCACTGTCCACACACATTTTTTTTTGAAAACACTGAGTAAGGGTGTACCCGTTTTAGGTATAATTTTTCCCCCCCCAAAATAATGTTTTTCCCAACCCCTACCATACCCCTAAAACTTTATTTTAAATTTTAAACCCTAAACCCAAAAACCCCCAAGGCCCCTTCCCCAAAAAAAAAAATTTTTCCGGGTTCTTTGGATTACCTTTTAAACCTTCCCTTAAAAAAAAAGACTGTAATTCGAATTTTTTTTGAATGGAAAAATATCCTTTACCCTTTTTTTTTGGTTAAAAATTAAAACGTATAACCTGCCCTGGCCTTTTTCAAGAGGAAAAAAAAAAAACCGTTACGTATTTTTTTTAAGGGGGTAAAATTAGGTTGTGGGGGAAAGCTTTTAATTTTTTTTCTGAGGCTAACTTTTGTTTAAAAACAAAAACTTTTTTGCAAAGTTCCTTTTAGGTGTTTTTTGGGGGGTAAATGTTTTGTGGGTTTTTTTTTTTTTTTTTTGTTTATTGGTGGTAAAAAAATTTTTAAAATTTAGTTTTTGGGGTTCCCGGGGAAGGTGGGGTTTTTGGGGGTTACGTGTGGGGGGGGTTTTGGGGTTTTGTGATGTATTTGGGTGGTGGTTTTGGTTGGTGGTTTTTTGGGGGGGTTTTGGGGGGTGGTGGGGGGGTGGGGGTCCTTGTGGTTTTGGGGGGTTTTTTTGGGGGGGAAAAAAATTGGGGGAAATTTTTTTTTAAAATTATTTTGGGGATTGGTTTTTTTTTTTAAATTTAAATTGTAAGGGGGGGGTTGGGGGGTTGGTGTTTTTTTCCCCCGGGTTTTTGGTTCCCGGTTTTTTTGAATTTTTTTTATATGTTTGGGTTCCTTTTTTTTTAAAAATTTTTTAAAAAAAATTTTTTTTTTTTTTTTAAAAATTAATTAAAAAAAAAAATTTTTTTATATTAAATTTTTATTTTTTTTTATTTTTATAAAAAAATTTTTTATTTTATTTCTTTTAAAAAAATTTTTTAGATTTAGGGGGAACAAATTCTTCCGGGTTTCCCCCCGAGAGGGGTTTTTTTCGGGACAAGGGGGGCCTTTCCCAATTGGTTGGGGCTTTTCCCCTAAATTTTTCGGGGGGAATTTTTGGGGTAACCTTTTGGGAATCCCCCCCCGGGGCTCGGGGCCCCAAGGAAAAGCCAAACTGTCCGTTTTTTTTCGAAAGTACAGTTTTAAAAAAAAGTAACTCCCTTTTTTTTTTTGAAAAAGGAACAAATCTCTCACAAATTAAAAAAGGTTTTTTTTAAAAAGATTATTGGGATTGGGTTTAAAATATAAATTTTTTTTGGGGATTTTCTTTCTTTTTGGGTCACCCTGCCTCTGTGGGAGACGGCCGACTTGTAAAAAAAAAAAGACAACAAAGTTAGGCTACGCAATGCAAGTGGAAAAAAAAGTAGTGATTTGCTTTATGGCAACATTCTTAAGCCTAATACCCTGTATTAGTGAGATATGCCTGTACAAAAGCCCCTCGCCAGCATCAAGGTGCCTTCATTGAAGGGAAATTTGACAAACACACTAGTTAAAATATTACCTGAAGATTCATGTAGCCATCAACTGACACAAGGATGCCTTTGTACTCATGGCCCCATTTGAGCTTAACAATGACTGCCTGACCAGTGAGCTGGTTCAAGAAAGGCTTGGGGTTGATTGGTGTTGGAACAGCAACTGACTGCAAAGAGAAGAAATGCAAGTTTAGGTTAGACAAATGAGTGGGTAAGAAGGGTTGTATTTGAGGAGGACCTACCAAGTATGGACCAGTAGGACTGCTGCAGTGTTCCTCCATTCTTATGTTCTACTTAATGTGATGAGTCCCTGCTAGGTATGTCACCCGACTGCTACAAAAAGTGCCTCTCTCTCTCTCTCTCTCTCTCTCTTGCAATCTAGTGAGAATATTTATCTAGTGAGGAATATTTTTATCACGATATACAGAATTTCCCTCATCAATGTGCTTCTGTCTGCATGTGGTTTTTTCCTTTATATTAATATGTTTATTACACTGATAGCCTTATATTACATAGTTAAAATTATCTAAAGACTTCCTGAATAAACCTGATCTTAAGCTGTAAAATTGAGTGAAAAATAATATACAATAAGTAGAGTTGAATCTGAATGGAATAAACTGCCAGGTATGCATTAAAATTCATAATTATTAAAATACTGGGAAAGCACTGAACCCACTAGGGTCATACAGTGCCTGGGAAATGGGTTTGATCTGAGGAAAGGGAGGGTAGCTCCAAATCCTTTCATCAAGAGCCCTTCCCTAGCATTAAGGCACCTCTCTTGTGAAGGTGCCCTTGATGTACAAGTTAAGACAGTAGGTTTAACACAGTACTACTCTATCATCCTAATACTGCACAGTATTAGGATTATTACAGGTTTCTGTTGACGAGTGAGACATGTCCAATACCTCTACTGGAAAATTAATTAATTTATTTGGAAAAAGAACTAAACCCACAGGAGTCATACGGCATCTGGGAAATAAGAGCCAATTAGGAAGTGGAGGACAATTCCAGTTCCTTGAATCAAAACCCTTATTAGAATAAATGAACCTCCCTAAAGAGGCTGACTGATGAAGCTTGACTGTTGTGCAGGTGAATGTTTCAACAATAAAAATATCCAAGTGTAGAAGTCTGAAGTCTTCAACTACAACAGGCTTAGGCTTGGTTACAAGTACTTCTGGCAGTTTGGGAGACACATAGCTGATGGTCAAACTAAATGCAAATTATGTGATCAGGCATATGGTCACTGTCTTGAACACTGTGCGCTTAATTGTCTACTTATTGAGAAATACAGAGACAGACAGTATAATAACCTATATGACATGTCAAGATATCTTATTAATAAAAATAAGATACCAAATATACTTAACCAATTTCCTAAATTTGCTTACAACAGATAAGTGAACTGTAGATATATAGATAAAAAACCCATATGTACACCTGTTAACCCTTTTGAGGCCTAGTTCGTAGGCCTTTTCTGTATCCATATGCTCTTGCGCTACCGTCCACAGGATGGATATGGGATGCACAATAAACTAGCCACTTCGGTTGTAAAATCTTTAAAATAAAGTCTTCAAGAGGAAATTGAATAAGTATCTTTGCCAAGTGCCAGATCAACCAGGCTGTGATGCCTATGTAGGTCAGCGGACCAGCAGCAGCAACAGCCTGGTTGACCAGGCAAGCACCAGACTAGCCTGGCCATAGGCCAGGCTCTGGGAGTGAAAAACTCTTGGTACTCATCAAAGGTAAAGGTACATCAACTTGTCAGAACTGTATACCACTAATATGACAGTTTCCTCAGTAAATTCTAGTTGGCCCAATCAAACACTAAACAGTTTTTTCCAGATATGTATTACTATATAGTATATATAAAAAAAAAATTATTGGGTGATGGAATGATTACATCAGATTCACATCCCTACTTCTGTTACTGCCTCCTCTGTACTTGAATGAAGAAGCCTGTACAGCGATTTCAAATTATGACCAAAATTTGCTATACGGTAAGCAGTCTTTCAAATATGGTGCGCCCCACCCGGTTTGCTTACATTCTCCGTAAGCACATTTATTATGACTGGAAACTTTCCAAAATTTCAAGTGTTTTCGAGTTATTGCATATTTTATATGTACTCTGATAATTATGCTTATGTGTACCTGTACCTAAATGTACTTACACACTATGCTGGCATGCAGGTACACATTAAAATCACTGAGAGTCTCTACTCATGATGCCATAGTAATACTACGTGATAATAATTTCTCTTGGGCACATTAAATATCTTATTTTACGTTAACATAGACATTTTCATTAATCCATCTATGATATTTTCTTCAAAACTATATAAGAAACATGTTACATAGCATATAAACATTATACGTACACCCACAGAATAAAAATTGACAAATATGAGTTTTGTTTACAAAGCGGTTTTGTAGGAGTATCAGAAGAATTACGTTTTCTCTAGTCAAACACTGGGGGAATAACTAGATAAATATTCCTTTCGTATGCCTTCACTCTATATATAGCAATTCACGACCCTTGTGGGTTTGGTGCTTCTTTTTTTATAATGATAATAACTTTTAATAATAATTTGTAATAATAATTCATAATAATTTGTAACAATAATAATAATTTGTAATAACAATAATAATAATTTGTAATAACAATAATAATAATTTGTCAGAGCATCATTCCTTCTAAAAATTCCATGAGAATGGAAGTGTTGGTCTTTATTTATTCTACTGTACCACTGTGGAGACAACTTGTACACAATACAAGGTGTTTGTATGAATGTTTGTTTACATAGTGGGTGGGGTGGTCAGGCTGGCTTACCTACACTACCCTACCTACCACATGACTTTCTACAAATAAATACTCTTCACCTTTCACCCTACATTAAGACTACAAATATTTTAAGGTAAGTAATGAGTGTACTGTATATGTATTTTATCACTATGGAACTTTAAGCATCGTCTTAGTATAGTATGTGTGGGTGGGGGTGGCCTGGAGGGCTACCACACCTAACTTCTTACAGTAAATACTGCTCACCTTTTGCCCTACATTAAGACTATGAATATTCTGAGGTGTGCATTTTACTTTTTTATTGTTTTAATGCCTAATTCTATTGCTAACTTAACCCTTTGACTGTCGCGGCTGTATATGTACGTCTTACGAGGTACCGTGTTTGACGTATATATACTCATAAATTCTAGCGGCTTCAAATCAAGCAGGAGAAAGCTGGTAGGCCCACATGTGAGAGAATGGGTCTGTGTGGTCAGTGTGCACCATATAAAAAAAATCCTGGAGCACGCAGTGCATAAGAAAAAAAAAACTCCGACCATTTTTTTTAATTAAAATGCCGAATTTGTGGTCTATTTTTGTATAGTATTTATGGTTGTATTCTCATTTTCTTGGTCTCATTTGATAGAATGGAAAACATATTATAGAAGTAGAGGTGATTTTGATTGATTTTACTATAAAAAGAACCTGGAAATGGAGCTCAAAGTAGGGGAAATGTTTGATTTTTGCTGATGTTCAAAAGTAAACAAATGATGTCATTGTCCAATAAATGTCCAACTAGCCATTCTAATATGCAGTCATGAATGGGTTGATGTTATTTATACATTTATTACAGTATTGCAGTAGTCTGCATAATAGTAAGTCTTCTATTTTTTGTTGGAATAAAAATTCAAAATAGAAAGCAATAGTAATATGAGGGGCCTGGAGACATTTATTTATTTATTTATTTATTTATTTATTTAGAAATTTTAGCATACAAACAGAGGTACAAAAAAATACAGGTAAGAGCAGCATGCCAAAGCCACTTATATGCATAGCATTACGGGCTGGCTTAAAATTAACTTAAGATTAACTAAGCAATGATGAAATCAGTGATAAGACATTATTGTAAACAGATAACTAACTGACTGATGAACAAAGAAAATGTTATTTTAGAGCCAGGAATGTCTGCATTGTTCATTCTGGACCTTATTTTGAAATTGTCATATTTTTTAATTTTTGTGAAATTGGCCAAATTGCAAATTTCTGACCACATTATTGGGTAGTTGAAATCGGTAAATGGGCAGTTTCTTGTACTCAATCGATAGAAAAAAATGGAGTTCTAAAGAAATAGCTATGAGTTTGGTCGACTGGAACAATGGAATTAGCCAAAAATAGGGCTCAAAGTGGGCGAAATCGCCGATTTGTAAATATCGCCAAGGTCGCTAACTTCACGAGAGCATAATTCCGTCATTTTTCCATCAAATTTCGTTTTTTTGGTGTCATTACAATCGGGAAAAGATTCTCTATCATTTCATAAGAAAAAATAATTTTGTTTTTTTAAATTTTGCGACACCAGGAGACACCTCAGGATTGGGGGTTGCGACAGTCAAAGGGTTAATATATGTTAGTGTAAACTTGCTATCTGGCATTTATATGCATTTATAAGTGAAAAAAAAATGGCGTTCTGCTTTCCGGCGATGCCTGCTTTCCGGCAGTAGCCTGGAACCTAACCTGCCGTACAAGTGGGGCACTACTGTATAGGCAAAACGTTTCGGAATAAAGTTACCTAACTCATGCACGTGTCTTAATTATCAATTTGTCGATATTGTACACCATTATCATGTTTAGTTTTATGATTGACCCAGGCCACTATTGGCTGAACCTAAACGTGGTTAAGTAAATTTATTTAGGAACAATTATACAATTCTGGAATGATTACAGTTGTATTACATAATAACATGCACGTTAATTACCTGGGATAACCCAAGCAAGTCAATGACTTGTTTCCATTGGTTGAAATGCATTTGTCTCCAGACTTAAGTTTATTTAGGCACAGTACAATTATCATACATAGTGTAAATTACCCAGGATAACCTCAAAAAACTCAAAGTGACTGTATTGCTGTGCAATACTGATCCCTCCGACTTACGATGGGCTCTCTGACCAGTATTTGTACCTAAATAATGTATATTAGAGATGATTTCCTCTATTCTGTTTATTTCAATATACAGTACACTACTGTATAAACATTTAAAAATATACCAGAAATGTTAAAAATGGTGCAAAGGTGACATTAAAACAATATCAAAGATGGTTGACACAAACTCACTACCATTATAGTATGCTCCTCACTTAGTGACAAATTCGTTTAACAATGTGGTCTTAGGAATGGAACTCCGTCATTAAGTGAAAAGAGGCTGTATAATAATAATATATCCTTATTTCTACAAGGTATACAGGCATAGCTGACATCAATGGCATACTACTCTATAGAAAGCCACTGGTTATGCAGAGCATTTCGGGCAAATTAGGTCAGTTTTGTCCCAGGATGCGACCCACACCAGTTGACTAATACCCAGGTACCTATTTTATACTGATGGGTGAACAGGGACAGCAAGTGTCATACGGAAACACATCTTCTGTTGTCCAGCCATACCAGATTCAAACTCTGGAACTCAGTGTGTGAGCTGAGTGTTAGCAACCGAGCTACGGACACAGTGAACATTAAGTTACCATGAGTGGAATAAACTCCCTTGCTGAAAATGGTATTGTGTCTTTTTTCGTTATTTTTTGGTATCTTTATTGGTGAAACGTTTCGCCCACACAGTAGGCATCTTCAACCAAATACAGAGACTGCTGAGCTCTTCTCCAGGCTGAGGGACTGACCACCTCAAATACTTTTTCTCCAAGGTTGATGGACTGATTACATCAACTTTATTTCACTACCACAACTGATGCCTCTGTATCTGACTGAAGAAGCCTACTGTGTAGGCTTCTTAGTCAGATACAGAGGCAGATAAAGATACCTAACTGTTAAGATAAGATAAGATTTCGTTCGGATTTTTAACCCCGGAGGGTTAGCCACCCAGGATAACCCAAGAAAGTCAGTGCGTCATCGAGGACTGTCTAACTTATTTCCATTGGGGTCCTTAATCTTGTCCCCCAGGATGCGACCCACACCAGTCGACTAACACCCAGGTACCTATTTGCTGCTAGGTGAACAGGACAACAGGTGTAAGGAAACGTGTCGAAATGTTTCCACCCGCCGGGAATCGAACCCGGGCCCTCCGTGTGTGAAGCGGGAGCTTTAGCCACCAGGCCACCGGGCCCTGTTGTACATCTTAATCACCAAACTCCCGAGCAGCATCACTGAAGAACCTCTGATATAATAAAAAAAAAGCACTAAACCTACAAGGGTCATACAGCGCAAAACCTCTGATAGCTTTAAACATAAGTTAGACAAGTATATTGAAATTCGTATATAAGTCGAAACACTTAAGTGGCCGAGTTGAACCTGCCTAGCATGGGCCAGCAGGCCTGCTGCTGTGCTCCTCCCACACCTTCTTAATGACTCTATATTAGTAATTACAAACCACACCTTCAGCAGCACACTCGGACAACACATTCAACGTAATTTAAAACAAAAAATCCACCACCGGCATCCCTCCCCCCACCATAGCGTGGGACACATTTCGCTCATTTCTAAATTACTTCACACCCACAGAGCTCTCCCACGCTCTCTGCTCCTCCCCTGAGGCTCTGTCTTCATTACAGGACCATGGAAGCAGTGTGTAACCATCTAACTCACCATTTTAAAGTATTTTTTGTCACACTCTCCAGAAACTGTCTTCTCAGGATTCGTATCCACAATATTAGAGACCATCTTAGGTACGCATCACGTAGTCCATAATGTTTTTCTAATATATCACAACTTACTCCTCCCCAAAATTATATAAGCACATCAGCAAAACTGTATTTTACCAAATACATAAAAATAAATAAAATATTGTCCAAAAATCCCTTAAATTGCAATTTAATATGTGATACATCTTTTTACATAAGCTGTATGTAACGCCCCACGCCAAAACGATTTGTTCATTATATTTACCCATATAAAAGACGTTTTAGTTTAGGAAATATAATATATTAGTGATTTAAATTAGCATTAAGTTAGCGTATAAAATTCCCAAACTTCGTAATCAGTGCAAAACACCAATACACAAAATACAGGGAACAATTTACCTCTTTATATTAACGATGTTTACAATCTCTATCTTGTTTTTAATAACATATTTAGTGCATTATGCGTCTACCATTATTAATAATACATTATATACGGTTAGAACAATGTTTACCTAATACTTGCATCATATATGTTAGTTTTCCTGTTATACTCCATTATATAGGATAGTTTTCCATGCTAGGTCCTACGAGGCCATCCTACGTAGGTCCTACGGGCCATGCTAGGTAGGTCCTACGAGGCCATCCTACGTAGGTCCTACGGGCCATGCTAGGTAGGTCCTACGAGGCCATCCTACGTAGGTCCTACGCGCCATGCTAGGTAGGTCCTACGAGGCCATCCTACGTAAGTCCTACGGGTCATGCTAGGTAGGTCGTACGAGGCCATCCTACGTAGGTCCTACGGGCCATGCTAGGTAGGTCCTACGAGGCCATCCTACGAAGGTCCTACGGGCCATGCTAGGTAGGTCCTACGAGGCCATCCTACGTAGTTCCTACGGGCCATGCTAGGTAGGTCCTACGAGGCCATCCTACGTAAGTCCTACGGGTCATGCTAGGCAGGTCCTACGAGGCCATCCTACGTAAGTCCTACGGGTCATGCTAGGTAGGTCCTACGAGGCATCCTACTAGGTCC